TAGGGTCCAGGGACCCTAAACCCTAAACCCTAACCCCAAACTTTACTTCCCCCAGGAAGGATTCCCTTTAGGTCAGGTTCTAGGTTGTCGCTCATTGAAGAGGTCTGGCATATCTTTTTGCGCCTCAACTTCGACGCTAGGTGAGCTTGACAGTTTCCGAGCTAAACAGGTTTTGGACCTATGGACTCTGAGTTGCAGTGTATACATCAACAAGAGTGAAGGAGTATAGGGTTTACATCCTTCGCCTTTAGCCATAGGGCCCCTTTGAAGCCGCTGGAACATCCTTCTTCAAGCAAAGACCCTAAACCCTAAACCCTATGATGCACAGCAAGCTTTGTAAAGGGGCTTAGAGTCCGGTCCTGGGTTAGGGTTTACAGGGGTTTAGGGAGGTTCGGGTTCAGGGTCTGGGGGTTTTGTGTTTAGGGTTCCGGGTTTAGGGTTTTCGGGTTTAGGGTTGTAGAAGCCCAAAAGTTGGAAAAGCAATCGCCTCAAGCCTTAAGAGTAACGTATAGCGAATCCTAGCACTACGTGTCCTTAGTCCGGTTTCCATTTTTTGGGGGTTTACTATATAGGACCTTGGCCACAAAAGCCAACAGGTGCATACATCGTGCTGTAGAACTCAAGAGTTTTAGGGTTTTGGGGTTTATCATGTCGGGTTGGGGTAAAGTGCTCAGGTGGCCGCTAATTTACAGTGAGAAGCCGTAAACCCTAAACCCTAAACCGTGGCTATGAAGTTCTCCGAACTTTGCTTCGCAGCCGTAAACCCTAGAGGCCCAAAGCCCCAAACCCAAGAAGCCTGAAGCTCGAAACCCTGTAGACCCTACACCGTCCCCGCCCTGAACCCCTATAAACCTCATAAGCCTTAAGCTCTAAACCCTGTAGACGCTACACCGTCCCTAAACCCTAAACCCTAAACCCTGAACCCCTGAACCCCTGAACCCTAAACCATCCTAAACCCTAAACCCCGCTTGGAATTCTTGGAGGCTCAAGTGGTAGGTAGCTTAGCTTGGCGATCCCCCGGCCCCTGTCCAAACCAGGCCGGGTCGAGTTATGGTGATTGATAAAAATGCTGCATGACCCATAGTAAGGACTACTATACCATAATTCCCATAGTTTAGGGTCCTTAAGGTAGCGCAGGATTTATATCATCAACTGTGTGAAGGAAAGCTGGTCTGACTCGATGTTCATCTGAAGGGTTTCAGGTTCTGACTCGATTTGGTTGTTTGTTCTTTTTGAAGGGTTTAGGGTTCAGAGTTTAGTGGGGAGATGTGGGGAGTATTTATTGCAGGGGTCCAGTCGCCACTGTTTTATGCATCTCGTTTTATAGGGCTTAAGGCTGCTAGTCGCGTCGCAGGTCTACCGCGTGTTTGTGTGTGTGTGTGTGGGGGGCGAGGAGTATAAACAATACCTTGCTTCTCTCCAGCACAATGCGGTTTCAGCTGCCCTTGGACAGCATCATAAACCCTAAACCCTAAGCCCCAAACCTTACCCTAAACCCCAATCCTTAAACCCTAAACCCTAAACCCCAAACCCAGTTCCCCGTCATCGATGAGAGTGCGCAGCTTGATTGACACGCGGATCACCCTTGAGAGCCCCAAGCGCGAACCCCGAAAGTCTCCAGCTGGGTTTAGGTATGTCTACAGGGATTATAGGGGTTTAGGGCTTTTGGGTTTTAGGGTTTTTGGGGTTTAGGGTTTTAGGGTTTAAGGTTTAGGGTTTATAAACCCTAAAACCCTAAAGCCTAAGGGTTTTAGGGTTTGGGGTTTTGGGGGCGTTTGGGTTTTAGCGCGCACAGACCGAGATCCCAGACTGCTACTGACCTGCAGTGCTCCGGTTGGCTCGTTTCAGAACTCGTAACTTGCTACTTAGGCGTCTGGAGCCCTCAGGAAATCCTCTTTAGGCGTCGGGAGCCTTATAAGGGACTCCATACATGCATAGATACATGCCTACATCTAATTATCAATTTATCTCTCTCTATCTCGATCTCTATCTCTATCTCGATCTCTATCTCTATCTCTATCTCTATCTCTATCTCTATCTCTATCTCTATCTCTATCTCTATCTATCTATCGACATGTTGTTATATATATATACATACATACATATGTATGTGTTCACACATATCTCTATCTCTATATCCATATCTTCAGGCCCGATGCTGAGGATCCCACTCCCGTCGGCTGCCACAAACAGGTTTTGTTACTTTGGCGGTCATCGGTTTAGGGTTTAGGGTTTAGGGATTGTGCCACCGTACACGTCGCTGCGAGCGCGCACGGCCGTTGCGAGAATTCCCGTGTCTGTTTCTTCTGGCAGGTGCTTTGCTGGAGGAAGTGTGGCGACGCTATGCGAACCCTCAAACCCATCAAAGCGCTGTATGCCAAGTATTCCGCATCCATCGTAGTATTCCTACAACCCTTAACCTTGCAGCCCGATACTCGACGCCTATAGACCCAAAGTAGAACAATCCAAACACAGCTTGCTATAGAGCGGAACAGGACTGTTCATGATCGTGGAGGTATCACTCGCAACATTGCGAGCATCATTGGAACTAGCAAGAATTGTCAACAACAGGACTTGGAGTATAAGGCTGAAAGAGCAGGTAAACAGCAATATCCAGTTAAATATGGCGTCAGTACCGCAGTGCTTGGAGGTTCATGGGTAGTTATAAGTGGGTTTCTAAGATGACGATAACTATACCCCATATAAGGGGACTTGTAACCCCACTTCTACCTACCCATGAACCTGCAAGTAGCGCTACGGCTCCAAGAAACCTCTCCGGGACGGCCCGGGTGAGGCCATGAGAGGTTTAGGGCTACTGCCTTCAATTTCGATAGCCACCTTGAGCCCTAAACCCAACACCCCAAACTTAAAGACACGAAAACACCATAATACACACCACTTCGAACCCTAAACCCTAAACCCTAAGTTGAGAAGGTTGCCGCCGGGGGCTCGTGGTCCCTTCCGGCAGCTTTCACTTCATGGGAAACTGTGTTGTGCGGAGCTCGGACGTCTTGGAATGATGCCTGTTTCAAGGTTTAGGGGTTTTGAGCTTAATTAGGGTATAGGGGTTTAGGGTTTTAGGGGTTTTGGGGGTTTTGGGGGTTTGGGGTTTTGGGTTTTTTTGAGTTTAGTGTTTTGGGTTTTAGGGGTTTTGGGTTAAGGGTTTTGGGTTTTAGGGTTTTGGGTTTAAGGGGTTTTGTGTTTAGGGTTTTGGGTGTAGAGTTGGCGAAGAATATAGTTCTGGAGTTGGGGGCTCACCGTACTTGCACTATTGTGCCGCGTCTTTGGGTAGGGTGCAATAGATTTAAACGTTCATATTTACCATACTATGTGCTTCTTTAGTAAAATACAGAAACATACTCATAGGGCAGTTTTTTGCCATATACATACATACATACATACATACATACATACATCCATGCATGGATGTATGTATGTATGTATGTATGTATGTGTGTATGTATGTATGTATGTATGTATGTATGTGTGTATGTGTGTGTATGTCTGTATGTATGTGTGTGTATGTATGTATGTATGTATGTATGTATCTATGTATGTATGTATGTATGTATGTATGTATGTATCTATGTATGTATGCATGCATGCATTCTAGGTTTGGTGCATGTATGCATGTGTTTATGTGTGTGTGTGTGTGGGGGGGTGCACATGTACTTGAATATGCTTACATGTACATAAGTGCTGCTCAATGCAACTAAGGGACAGTTATGTTGTTAAATCCCCAGACCAAAGCTTCTGTCAGGAAGGACAAGTACGAGAAGAACTTGATTTGGTACTATTGCGATATTGCTTACGAGGGTGTTCGGTCCGACAAGGACGAGGAGCAGCTCACGCGGGACACGATGCTCGGTGATGGTGCTGCTGTTTCTGATGTGCCTCT